AATCCTCAAGAGAGACTTTAAACAACAATAACTTTTTCAAACAATTTGATTAATACATGGCTCGTATACGGTAGCCATTTACGACCATTCAAAAAGAAATTTGAGTTATTGAATGTTCCCTTTTCCCTGAAATGTTTTTGGTTCTTTCAAATGGATAAATCTATCAAATAAATGACCATTGTCAATGCTGTTGAGTCACGTTTTGTCCGCCGTCACGTTATGTCCGCCGTCACGAAATGTCCGCCTCTTTTTCGGAAAAATCGTCACGTTATGTCCGCCGTCACGAAATGTCCGCCACTTTTTCAGAAAAATCGTCACACTATGTCCGCCGTCACGAAATGTCCGCCTCTTTTTCAGAAAAATCGTCACACGATGTCCGCCGCTACAAAATGTCCGCCTTTCTTCTAAACAAATCGTAATATTATATTCCCTGCTACAAAATGCCTGCATTCTTTCTAAAACAAATCGTAATATTGTCCGCCAACAAGAAAAGTCGGCCTTTCTTCCGAAAAAAAAAAATCGTCGGATTACGTCCGCCGCCAAGAAATGTCCATCTATTCTCGGTAAACTCGTCACTGATCACATAATGTCCGCCGTTAAGAAATGTCCTTCAATATTTTTGATTGTAAATATCGTCTCGTAATGTCCGCCAACACGAAGAGTGCGCACTTTCTTTTTTAAGAATTGAGACGTTTTATATACATTTAATTTTTTAATAAACTTTATATCAAAATTATTTTAATCTTTTTCTAAGAAATGATGTTCTCAATTTTTTAGCCTTAGTCGTAAGTTCTTTTGTAAAACGGGCCCCAGGCCTTTGCCGACTTGAACATGTTGAACAAAACAATACAGAATTGTCGCTTTCTAAATTTTCAAATGATCACGTGTTTACTTCATCTAATGAGGGAACGCGTTGCGCGGTCTCACCTGGCCGCAGGTAGGTATCTGTTTTTACTTTGACCCCTGCTGCGCCACATGACAGGTTGATAAGAAAAATGAAGACTATTGGGTAAGTATTAAACAAACAATACCAGCATATATGTTGTAAAATAATTAAAACAGATTGATGATGAATTTATATTGATTTTCTATTATCATCATCTAATTGTTTAATAAATAAAGTCCTTCCAGATTTCTTTTTAAGCAGAATGTTCTCAAAGCCGGCAATGCTATCTATTTATCATTCTTCATGTTTATCTTAACTAAATATCATTTCTTGAATTAAAAAACAACTTTTCACTTTTAACCAACTCGTATTTATATGTAAAGAATAACGTACATGTATATATGGCATAATGTTATCATTTAAATGTAAAAATAAAAATTTAATTAATACAAATTGGCTAAAATTGAAAAATAATTTTTCTAAGCGAAATAATACCTTACTTTTTTAAGTTACCTTTTCTTATAAACTTTGTTTTGATGCATCTGTTAGTTTATTCAATGCATACTCTTGTTTTTAGCATCCTTAGTTCGGGTTGGGGGGGGGGGGTAATATTTTCTTCATGGTGTTTTAAAATTGTAACTTTTGGCTCCAAGAATGAAAGAAGAAGCAGTTCTGACATGGTTAATTGTTTATGAATTGAATCAGTAATATATTTTTAGAAAAAAAATACATGGGAAGAGAACGTAGAACGCATTTCAGAATTCCTGAAACTCAGGAATTGAATGCAATCTTATTGTATTTGAATTGAAGGTAAAAATTTTCCCATGCTGTAAAACAAAAGGTGTGAATCCCAGGTGTCTGTTGAAAAGGGCTTCATTGTTTTAGAATCACAGGTGTCATTAAATGTATTGTACACATCCTGTCTCTACCTGAAAGGGGGTATCTCGGTTGCGTTTGATGTAATTTTGACATGCCCCTCAATCAGTGCGATTTCTTTCATGGGTGTCCCACTTTTTTTAAATCTCAATTCCACCTATTCCCAGTTGCAAATAACAATAAATGTTTCTATAATAATTTAATTAATTTAATTACAGTAATTACATCTTTGATTTACCTGTATTTTGTACATTTGATGACAGAAAATAGTTTTAGAAAAAATGATTTATGCGTGTTAATCAAATATAATTATGCATTACATATATAAAAAATGCATAATATATTTTAATTTTTGAAAACAAAGGCTTACAAAACCCTCTTATATCTTGAATTTTAAACGTAAAATGAGAAGATTTTTTTAAATGCATTAAATTAGCTGAATTTTAGCTAAATTAACGGGAAAAAATCATTTATCAGTAATTCAGTAAAAACTTGGAATGTTACCTTTAAATATTAGTAAAAAGTCTGATTTAGAATTTTTAAAAGCCAATTTTCCTTTAAGTTGGTCATTGATCAACTGTTGATACAGCAGTAGTAAATCTAGTAATATGTTTTAAGTTAATTATTCTTTTACTTTAAAATTCCACAGATTCCCACATAAAATGTTACCTTTTCCTACCCGATTTTCAGAAAGTGGGAATAGGTAAAACGAACCCTTCCATCTACTTTAATTAGCTAATTAACAATTTTGATTATTTCAAATTTATAATACATATATTTTTAATAAAGGTATAATTACTTGTATAAATACAAAACCTTTATTGCCAAGAGTTCGGTATCAAGATCCCTATCCCTGTCCTAGTAAACCCGATAACGACATAGATTTTAGTCTTCAATTTCTCTTAAATTTGTCAGTAACATTATGAGACTAGTGATTTTTACCAAATTATTTTATTTGATAAAAGACAAAGGTACAATACATAAGCCTCGTGATCAAAATGAAAGGAAGGGGTGGCTTAACTAACAAAAACGCATGGGGACTAAGCCCCGAATTTCAATGCCTATAACGCATGTTTGACTATTTTTAGAGTGCGACAAAACTGTGTCCAGAAAACAAAGTACACAACATCAAAAATACACACATTCACAGTTGTATGTTCAAACTTTACATGCCAGGATGACGGAAAATGTACATGTAGCTACAGACTATGAAACTTATACGATTGCAAGATACTATATTTAAAATCATAAAGTTTATAAAATAAACTATCGTGAAAGACAGAATACAATGCAGGATAACTGAACGATGGAATATTACGATTTAGAAGTTAATTAGAAGAAGCCAGCCAATGTCCATATAATTTATTTCAGAATATAAAGATTGATTCACCATTACAAGAGAATTGACCAGCACGAGAAAACAGTTTCAAGCACGAAAAAGTGATGTATTTTTTTTTATACGCGTGTTTATTTTTCTTCAATTTTCTGTCCGTTTGCATGTCTATTCTCGATATAATACTTATAAGAAGGTTTAGATCGTTGCATTCCGATGTACATATGTGCTAATAGTCCTTCTCTGGGTTACATGTAATATTGTTTCGATTATTTGAGCTTAATATATTTGGATATGTACATGTACATTTGTTTTGAGTCAATGTTCCCCTTTGACACAGTAGAAGTTTAAAATACATTGTATTTCACTCTGCTGTCCTTTGGATGATTTCATTTAGGTTTATGATTTACAAATATTAATGGTATGATCATGCATTATATCCATTGAAATCTGATGTAAACATAAAGAATATATTTCCAGAGACTGTAGACATTACATTTTGTACCACTGATTATGTACAACGGGAAGTAAAATCGATGTCAATGTATTAATACATTTAGAGATAAAAAACTTGGAATATCAATGAGAGTGGTCCTCCTACTTCAACTCAGTAAAATAAACTTTAATGTGTTATAAATTTAACATTAATCGGAACGCGTTCGAACGGAGATCAACTACCTTTTTTTTCAATTTTTGTAGAGAAAAAAAAACAAGCCCGGCTCTATATAAGTCACATCCCTATTCATATTGAAGTCAACGTTTACATGAAGTTTTTCTCATATCCTTTGGAAGATAAATCAATTTTTTTTATTTTAAAATAATGCATTAATTAAATAACCTAAACATTAAAAAAAAAAATCATATTATCTATCTGCAGTACTCAAAAGATTGTAACTCAATCGGCAATCCTCGGCTGAATCCGCTACACTCCATTCATGCGAGGTACAAGCCATCCGAGGAAATACTTGTGACCTTTACTTGGAAAGGTTATTGCCCTTTGTTAACTCTCCTGTTAAAATGGCAGCATCCCGTTATTATTTCCAAAGTGTTCACTTTCAAACAGTCACAAATTTTAAAAACTAAAGGTAAATTATGTGTTTTACGGTGCGGTCTTTAGCGTTAGGGAGTTACCAATATGCGGCTTTTTATAGTTTGACACTGAAATAGGTATGAACAATTACAGGTGTTTTAGGAGTAGAGTATCAAAGAGTGCTTTTTTAAATGAAAGGTTAGTTTGACATTTATTTATATAATATAGATTTGATTGTACTACTTTGTGAATGTGCCTATTCAAAATACTCTGTAAAACAAAGTCGAAAAAACTTGCGGTACTTTACGCAAGGCAGGGGGAGGGGGCGTCCTTAAACACATGTCATTCAACACCCTCGAGTACAACAATATATATAGACACGCACACACACTCACACACAATATTTGTTGAAAAATCTTTTGTATCCTCGTGAAAACGACTATCTTATACAACCCCCATTGCAAATGAGCTTGTGAAAAATTCATAAGTTTTATATTTTATGTACAGAGAAAATTCAAATTGACTTTCTTATGCATACTTAGTACCCATAGTTTATTAATGCAAGTGCACATTATGACGTCATTATTCTCCCCCATTCAAGATAATAAATCACATCAACAAAATTACGTCGGTGCAATTTATTCCTTGATTTACTTATCCCGTCAATATGTAATACGTTTAATTTTTTTTAGGGAAAAAAAATTCCATCCGCGTACTGCCCACATTCGGCTATTGTTTTACCTTAGATGAGAGGGCAACTAGAAGAAACCTTTATCTGATTGAAGAAGCACAGGTGCCCGTAGACAGGACCCCCCCCCCCCCTCCAGAATACAGGAGAAAACGTGAGTATACTAAAATCACTCAGAGAATGATTACATTTTATGATAATGATTTTCATTTTCAAAATATTTTTAAAAAGATATAAAGAAAAAAACTCACATGCATATAAAAAATAACTTGAATTAAAGGGTAATGAAATTTTCAACTTGTATTTAGCGTAAACGTTGCTATTCATTCAACGATTGGTGAGTTGCTGGTGGTAAGATCCTCTGTGCGCATTAATAACAATAGCCATATAAGGCAAACAAAGGCTTGTCTGTCAGTGTAGATGATAATGCTCATTTTTTACCAGCGAGTCGGTCACTAGTGAGCTCTAATTTTTTGCCGAAAAGTATCCGATATATTATTATTTTAGCACCCCCTCCTTTAGTCATCCTTTTTCTGTTGAAAATCATGAAAGTCTTTCAGAAAGGTCTGTAAACATTTATTAAAGGAAATGTTTTCAAAAGAAACAGGCTATAGCAATATCATGTTTACTGCCAATTTTATTTATAAATCCGAATCTACCCTATAAAATGTATAAACTTTGAATGAATCAACCTTAACCACGTGTCTTGAATTTAAATCACAATAACATTAGTAGAGGTGCAACAGATGTTTCCTACCTCCATCTCGAAAGAGTTCCGCTACGTTGAGCAATCGCAAAATCAAGTGTGATAATTTATTCTTGGTGAGTATTCTCTTATGTCTATCACCAATAGATTTTGTTAAATTATTACAAGTAAGTTTGGTTTCATTTAGTAATAGACCAGTGTAGTCCTGTGATGCTAGAAAAATTAACTTGTTGCAGGCTAGCTAGGTTACTACGGAGGAAATGTCATCCCGAGAAAACTACCGTTGACCAAGGCAAAGTCGATGTCAACAAGGCATTTCGAGGGATGACATTTTTACGTTATCCTCGCTAACCTACAACATATTAGTGGGTCAGATAAGTCATGAGGACCTTTTGCTATCTGTTTTGTTCGTCGTCGTGCGTCATCTTTACTTTGCTTCTCAGCTTCAATTCTGCAAGAGTTGAAAATTATAACAGCCAAGTTTGGTTTATAAAACCTTTTGATGTTAATAATGGACCAGTGTAGTCCAGAGATGCTAGAAAATTAATTTGTTGCAGGTTAGCTAGGTTACTACGGAGGAAATATCATCTCGAGAAAACTACCGTTGACCAAGGCAAAGTCGATGTCAACAAGGCATTTCGAGGGATGACATTTTTACGTTATCCTCGCTAACCTACAACATATTAGTGGGTCAGATAAGTTATGAGGACCTTTTGCTATCTGTTTGTGTTCGTCGTCGTGCGTCATCTTTTACATGGCTTCTCAGCTTCAACTCTTGAAGAGTGGAAAACTATTACTAGTACTGAAATGTCTTTTTATTATATTTTATGAATTCTTTCGTGGACTATACGTGATATCTCGGATAATACCAGATTAATTTCGAGAATTCTTTCTAATTTGTTCTCAGTGAGTGAGAGTCAATGAAGTGTGTAGCCCATTTGCCTTTTGTTATGTCTTAGTAATGTCGTATTTTTGCTGTTTTAGGCTAGTTTTAGTAATCAGCGTAATCTCCCTTTGGTGGAGGACCTTAGGAGCACCAGTCAATAGGACGATTAGACCAATATCGGATGAAAGATACCACATCATTTACGGTAACGTTAAATAAAACCACAAGACATATTCTGTTACAACGAAATTGATCGATTTCGTTTGTTTATTTGTTTGTCTCTCTGTCTGTTGTCAATTTTAACCTTTAACACAACTTTTGAACCATGAGAGATAGCATCGTCAGAAACCCACGGGTGATCTCGTCTTTACTTATCACCCGTGGGCAAACACGACGAAAAATCGTCGTATGTAATTAAATATGCATGGCTCATTTGATTGGCTGCTTCACAGAGTCGCGATGCCAAACAACGAATCACAGTTCACGTTACGCATGCATGTTCGGCATTGCCAAAACATGTAAAGGCTAGCATTAATCTCCAAATATATATTTTAATTTATTTACTTTTTAAAATTCAAAACAAGTTATTTACTTTTTAAAATTCAAAACAATGCGCAAAAATTTATGTGTCATCTAAATATACAGTTTGTATACATAAGCTACACAGCCCACTCCGACGAACTGTTTGGTCAACCCTTGTACTAGTAGACTCAGTATCTCCATTTAACTGTTATCATGAAGATTTTATTATTTTTTCATCGCAGATATCATCTCAGGAACAAGGACTTTCAAAGAGAAAAGCAACAATGGAAGAAAAAATGCAGCAAGGATGATTCGTCGCTGGAGAAAGAAACACCATTTGTCTGTTGCCAATTGCCTCAACCCATTGACCGCGGCTCAAGAAAAAGGTATTTTGGTTGATGGTAAAATGGTTTTAAGGTTAAATGAAATTAGTTCCGCGGCAAAACAGGCATTCGAGGAAAGAAAGTGTGCGGGTTCACGAAAAATTCGACATTGTTTAAACATTACAATAAAGCTAGGCCGCCGTTCGAAAGAGGAAAATTAATCGGCACAAACACAACGCTTCTCTTACAAAATGAGGTTTTCCAGTGGGGTGTCGCATTGATAAATGTACAAAACATAGCTGCACCAAGAAAGACAGGTTATTTCCCCTAAGTCTTAACTCATCATTTTATTTTTCTCCACCTTCTTTATCTCCAATGGAGATAGGATAAACGATTCAAATAACGGGTATGCTCTATTGTTCTTTATCTGATTTTAATTACAATTCACATTCGTCTATATATACATGTATATGAACAGCCTGCTTGCCGAGAAAATCATTATGTGCATTAAAAAAAACATGATTTACTTTCATGTATAATAGCGAGCGCAGCGAGTGTCGCGAAGCGACGCTCGCGAAGCGAGCTCAATAGACTAAAGGGTAAGAACAGAGGAAATTCGGATTGAAATCTGTACATACGTCAGGCAAATTTCTCTGTGCAAAATTCCCAGAATTCCTGCACTACCCAATGTCCTTTGCGCAAATAAATCAAAAATAGTAAAAAAAAATAAAGGAACATTGTTTCTTACCGAAATCTTAACGAAATGATTTTGCCTTACCTTATTCAAAAAAATACCCCCATGCCACAACACCGGCCTTCACCTTGCCCTTCGGAAATGATACATATGACGTCACCGGAAACTTACGAATTTTGACGATATGCTAATCAAGTCATGTCGGTTGCTTCAGTGTAATAGATAAATAAATAAACAATAACGTAAAGCATAAGAAGCTTTCAGTTTGTAGAAATCTTTCAAAGAAACAAAAAATAACTCTGCAATGTTTTTCGACCAAAATTGTGCTAGGTCTATAGTTTAAACCAGACGCTCGGCCGTTTCCGTAAGCTCCGACGAGCTCCGTGACGTCGTGTGTCTCGTGCGACTTGATGTTTGAAGTGGCTGATCAATATTTCAAGTGTTTTGATGGTACAACTGCGCTCGCCTCAACGGTCACACCGTAAAACATATTATTTATAACATTTGAGAAGGAAAAAATTAGACAAATTCTTCTTATTTAGAGTGTGCTGCAATATTAAATACGATTATCGTTTTATGAAATAATTCCACACATGTGAAATAACTTAGGAAAATACATGTAAAACTTAAAAAAAAAGGAAGTATAGCCTTGCGTGCGCATTAAACTGAATTGTTGCATGCTCTTCAAAATCAGTCCTTCCTTTAAGAAAAACATCTTCAACCTTTTTTGAAATAAAAAATGAATTAATCATAAATTTAATCACACTGGTATTGATAAGTTTTAAAATATGTACTTGTATATACAGATGTATGAGTAACTTAAGACTTCAACCGCGTTTCTTCCCAAGTCATGTACAAGAACCGAGGAATAACGGAGAAAATTGAAGTACTTTTTAAAAATCTATTAGTTCTGGATTTATCGTAATACCGGTATAATATAGGCGTCGGGAGCAACCTGAAATAAATAAAAAAGGAAACAAGGCAGGAGAAGGTGACACTTTAAATATGTAAATGATTCTCTTCATCTACCTGTAATAATATTGAAACCATGCACATGTAGCCCAGAAATTTAGACAAAATATATTCACAATGACAGATGTAGATGTGTCGGGCCTGGAAGAGATTTTGTCGTCACATAACGCCCATGGCACGCAGATTTTTTTAATGTGAAAAATAGGAGAAGGAGTAGGCTGTATGTTTCACTTATAAAAAGGAAGGATTAGTCGTCAACTCGCCTCTCTTTAAAATATCCTAGTTGTTCGTTTGCCAATACCCCACGAGGACCCATGGATAATGCCTAATTAAACACGTACAGTTTATTAATGAACTTAATGGGAAAAAAAATCACCGCAAAAATTAAAACATGAATTGAAAAAAGTTTCAAGATATTCTGGTGAAAGGGGCCAAAGATAGATCCACACCTCAATAGTGCAGACGACAGCGCCGCCTATAGAGAAATTCTGACCAATGAAATGCCGTTTTACTTGTTGGCGCGAACTATAAATAAATCCAAACGTCTAAAACGAAAGTAGGAACGGCCTGATTACTAATGGATTTGAATTTAAGTAAAAAACAATTACTACACATTATCCTTGGATTAAATGGTTTTCACTTTGATGAAAGTCTCATCAACAACGACAATTTGCGCGTGGATCAAATCGACGCCATTTGTGACGACGCCATGCTGTCGCCAAGAATCTCAGTTCCATAGGTATTGTAAATGACATATAGTTTTCAATAGATTTCTTTTATTTTTCATATACATACGTGTTACCTATAGGGAGAGCTTCGCTCGCACGGGCCCTTCGGGCCCGTGAGAGGGCTCCGCCCTCTGTTAAAATTGATTTCAAAGCAAACACGGCGTAATATTTACTAAACCTCCGAAATACGGGTATAATTTAACCAACTAGGCCTTAAACAATAAGTTGAATAACAATCAATCGATCTAAATCATTTAATTATACGAACAATGAAGAGAAACAAAAGACCAAATAAAGAAACGAATCTTTAACTTAATATAAACGCGTGTTTGTATTAAAATTACGCCAATATATTGATGAATAAAGGAGAAAAGTTACTGCATTGAAAATATGACCGAATTATGGCGTTATCAGCACCTTTATGGCGTCAAGTCACGTGATCCAAACACGGCGGCTCCCATAAATAAGGTTAGGGATTAGAGTTTATGATGGTAAGGCCCCTTTCCCCTGAACAAGCTTCCAGTTGGAGCTACAGTGTACCATTCTCGCCAAACACATAACATTATGGAAAATAGGGTACGACCAGTCTGTTTATATCCATTTGAAGTTAAATCAATTTAAATTTTAAACATTTTTATTTGGGGGGGGGGGGGGGGGGGTAATTATTAATTCTATTTATACCCTCTTCGTAGAACAGTACATATATCGCTACAATGCCCATCTTTAGTCTGCGCTTTATATATGTACAAAGAACCGTACATGGTCATGCATAAGAAATGTATTCCCTGGTCACTTAAAAAGGTTTGTTATTTGGTTAGGTGTTCTCCACACTTATTATCTTTTAAAGACACATTACTGAGGGCTTTGTTTATCATATCTCCAAACACGGGAATTTTTGAGACAGAATTAGATTGCAAACTTTCTTTGAAACATTGTGATTAATTTATAGATATAAAGAATTTAGGATTCAGTTTCTGCGTCATCAATTACACATTCCTGTGTGGAGCGGTAATGTATGGTGTCCGGATAGGGCCATTTGCGTTAGCGCGACATCGCATTCAGATAAACGCACCGTCGCGATAACACACAACACGCTGTCGCGCTAACACATAACGCGCCGTCGCGCCAACGCAACTTTGCACAACGCGCCGTCGCGCTAACACACAACACACCGTCGCATTAACACAACATTGCACAATGCGGCGTCGCGCTAACATACAACGCGCCGTCACCCTTACGCTTACAGCGCATTTTGCAAAGTTGTGTTGTTAGCGCGACAGCGCGTTGTGCAAAGTTGCATTAGCGCGACGGCGCGTTATGTGTTAGCGCGACAGCGTGTTGTGTGTTATCGCGACGGTGCGTTTATCTGAATGCGATGTTGCGCTAATGCAAATGGCCCTATCCAGACACCATAGTAATGAGAATCAATCGTCTTATTGATGTGAGATGTAATGTTGATAAGCGCGCAACATTTTAATGAGGAGTAGCGATAATGATTAGATAGTTTAGCAGTATCATTGAACTCCCAGCGTACTTCATGATGAGGATATTTAGGCGTAATTTATAACCAAATTACCCATTTATTATCAACACGGTAATTGGTTTCAAAACCCAATTAGTATAACTTCCGAAAGATTTTTTTAAAAATCATACATAATAAATATTTTTATATAAGATAACTGCATTTTAATTATAAGGTGACAAAAAGAGATTATCATTATTTAATTACATAATATGCCTCGAGTTTGTTATAACTGTAATTTTGTAATTTTATTTCATAGCCACCATGAGAGCTGCCATATTCGGTTCATCCTACGTGAAGGTAGCTTCAAGCTTTACAGACTTTGTCCTGCCATTTGAAGTCGGGTGGTTTTGAGTTGGTGGGATGACAGCTTCTCAACCTTGTCCAACTGGGTACCGATAAAGTGCGAAACGAAATAGAAACGAAGCGAAACATTGTTTTTTAAATCAAGGTATACCTGTATACATCAAGTTATAAGATGTGATGTGTAACTGTATATGGTCTATTTTTACTTCATATGAAATTCATATAGTAAGCTTGTTTACACAGGCAATTGTTTCGTATAAGGGGTATCCTACTTGTTTTTAACACTACAATGAAGCGCATTGAAGTGGTAAAATTTTCCGTTTGGATGAAACGTTTTGAGCTATCTTTAGACACGCCCATTTCTTTAGAAAGGCAATATCGGTCAAATGAATTCAATCGAATACCTGTAGAACAGGTATTCCATAAATATAATAGCCAATCAAATTGACGGTCTACATAAACACCGAGTAAGCACGTGTTCGACTGATACATGTGTTATGCTAACTCCAATAAACATGATAAAATCATAATTATGTACAAATTCGTTTCAATGCGTGTTTTACAGAAGCGGGGACTCTATATATAGCTCTTTCTTATTTAAAAATCTTCATTTAAGTGTAACCCATGTTGCTTGTTGCGGAAAGTGGGGTGTCCTAAAACATTACGACGAATATTTCTTTCTCTTCTCTAAAGAAATGGGCGTGTCGTTATGTTATAATTGACGTTCAAAACATGACTCAGAATGTTTCATCAAAATGGAAAATTCTACCACTTCAATGCGCTTCATTGTAGGTACCTAACTCAAGTTCAGGCACCCTCGCTTCAAATTCATATTTTGTTAATAAATCAATAATTGACATACATTAAATTGACATCGTTCGTTTTGAGAGAATATTTCCTTGTCAATTAAATCCTTTTAGACGTCTTTTGTCGAGCCTCTTTATTGCAAACTACTCATTTCTCCCTCGAAAATTACACCGATACAAAATAAGGCCGTATGAACGTAGATGTCATACACACTGCGGTTAGAGTTACATGTATAAGTGAACGATAAAACCACCCAGACACCTCGCATTGAAATACTCGTAAGTCTCTGTAAAACTTCAGTTTTGATAGATATGTTGCATCATGGGCGTCGCAAGCAAATTGACAGGGGGTGGGGGGGGGGGTGGCCGCGCTTAACCAACCAGAAAGGAAAACCCCAATTTTCAATGCCTGTTTAATATATATCTTTGCAAAAAGGTTGGGGGGCTAAGGGTCTAAACCTCCCTTCCTTTATGTCATACTTAATTTTGTTAATATAACACTAAATAATTACCACTTAATTACCTCGATAAAAAATAGGACCGTCTGTACGTAGGAAGGATACACAAGATTCCGGTTGGAGTTACCTGTATAATTGAACTATAAAACCAGACATCTCGGAATGAAATACTAAATACTCGGAAATCTCTGGTTTATCCTATGTTTTAAGACATTCGCTACATACAACAGTACAGTGACTTTATTTCGACCCGTACATAAACGAGCCTTTACATGTAACATATCAGTTTTGATAGATATCTTGTATCTATATAAATAAGGGCTGGAAATAACTGTAAGACATAAAAATTTGAAAATAGTTCACATATTGAAATTTTACATGCATATAGTACGTACGTTCGTGCATATTTGCAGCTGGCAAGCATGTAAATACATCATTAGACTGACAAGGGAGCATAATTTTTCGTTAATCAAATTTTATATTAACAAGTGCAAGAACTACATATGAATTTTATTTGAAGTAAAAAAAGTCCACAAGCAGTTACATATATATAAATATATACATGATTTACCTTGAGTTGGGGGAAAAACACAGATTTCAAAAGTTTGTTTCGTTTCGTTTTGGCAGGTTTCGTTTTGATTATGTTTCGTTTCGTCTTGATTTCGTTTCGGTAGATTTTGTTTCGTTTCGGTAGATTTTGTTTCGTTTCGCACTTTACAGGTACCCTGTCCAAATATCATCTCCAAGATGTTGAGGTACAACACGGACATCGTTGTAGTGTGCTTAGGGGGAAACGACATTTCCAGTGGAGCCGAGGCGTCTACAGTCATTGACTGTCTGACAAGCCTTTTCGACCAAATTAAAGTCTTGAATCCCAGCTGCAGACAACCAGAGATTTTCTTCACAGATATTGTTTCCAGAGGAAAATTTCGATTTCCTCTGCAGCGTGAGGAGGTTGATGCAAGGCGTAGGACTGTTAACAATAAGATGAAGACAATCCTTGGCAGAACCTACATCAGAATAGATGTCAAATTTCCCAGACATTACCTTTCCGATGAGACCTACTTCAACGGGGCGGGAAGAGTCCTCTTCTTGCTTTCAATAAGCAAGACCATCAAGAGTCGCTCCTAGAAGTTGACAATAAACAGCCAATAAACAGCCCTTGTAAGGGCAATTCAATTAATCGAAAAGATACCTATGAATACAGACGTAGAAACGTCGCACCTGACGTACATGTATATGCCCATTTATTTTACCGAACTTACCGGTAAATGAAAAAGAAATACGTAATACCTATAAATATACACATATAATATGTAATACACAATTACTAAAAACTTCTTTTTTATAATTCCCGGATATTTCGGCTCAAGTGATATTTGCTCGAACTTTTATTTAAACTCGTCATATCTCGTCATATCTACACAAAACATTTTAGTTAGGAATTTAAAACAAGAAACATTTTTATTTAAGCGGCAAACCACAATGTTCCTGTTATGAGGCAACAAACTGAAATTACTTTATCTGTTATTAATAGAATATATATCATAAGAATCTATAAATATGCCACATTAAAACAGTGCATGCAATATTGCAGGCGCATATTTTATTTGAACAACCGATTTTTTTTCATACATAAATTTTATAAGTAGCCTATCACGAGCTAATTACCGGTACTTATGTTAAAACACAACAAATATTCGGAATCTCTTTCACTCACTCTAGCATATCCCAAAGGAGGTGTAATCCCCCCCCCATCCCATCCAGATTTGCTAAATTGCATTTCCTGTTATTTTGGAAAAGTATAAAACGTGCTTTATCCTTGTCTGCTGCAGCAAAAATTTCGTATTTGTGAGAAATTAAAGTTATACATATAATGAAAATCCTTAGAAAATGTATACATGTACAATCTGTACCTATATGTACATGCTAATACTCTCTCCGCTTCAAATTTCGTCAATCAGGATTCGATCAGAATTCTTACCCGATTATTTATTTTATTTTAATTGCATTTTTACAACATGCCATTAAATTCTCAAATACCGTAAACAATCAAGAGGAATTAAACAAATCTCCATCAATTGATCGAAACAATGTAGTTCAATGAAATCATTTGTAGCAAATTAGATAAGACAAACCGTTATCATTAAAAACACTATTTTCAATCTTTGACGGACATTTTGTTGGGGCAGACATAACGAGAAGACGATTTTGGATGATCGTCGGACACTTCGTGACGGCAGAAATAGTGTGACGATTTTGGGGGGGGGGGGGGGGGGGGGCGGACATTTCTTGGCGACGGACATAATATTACTATTTTTTGGGGAGAAAGGCGGACATTTTGTAGCGGCGGACATAGTGTGACGATTTATCCGAAAAAGAGGCGGACATTTCGTGATGGCGGACATAACGTGATGATTTTTCCGAAAAAGAGGCGGACATTTCGTGACGGCGGACATAACGTGACGATTTTTCCGAAAAAGAGGCGGACATTTCGTGACGGCGGACATAACGTGACGGCGGACAAAACGTGACTCAACAAATGCCAATCAAGAAGAATCAAGACTATATAACAATAGCAATTTATTTACAAATAAACATGTACAAGAGAATCAGTTATCACTACCATTTACCATCACCACCCACGAAGTTCCATACTACGTGTTGGCCGTAAGAACAGATTATCGACGGAAGTATGAAAAAAAACATTGGTAAGCCAGTTGTCTGAAAACGTAGAGAACAACATTAAAATACTTTTGTTAAAACAAACTTCAAGAATAAAAAAAAAAGAAAACAACACTTACTTAATTGTAATTACTCACATTCTCTTACAAATACCAAAACAAAAGCCCCACGTTTTAAATGAGCTGCACAGGTACCATGTAAAGCATTACCTTTCCACACAGCATTGGAGAATTTGCTACTTTTGCCTACTGAAGATAAACGAAAGGTTGGTGAGAAATTTCTATTATAATTACCCAAAAATAAGCTTGAACTCTTTTTAGGCCCAAATTATAGTACATTTCTTTTTTCTATTACTGAATACCTTATTTCTCTAACGAGCAGCTACCAACTAACAGATGCGACTGGATACGTCTTTCTGTCAGGGTCTTGCATCAGAACAGCATCTTGTTTAATTTGGACGCATCTGTTCCCTTGTTAAATGTTTTTGTTAGGTCTGGAAGTCTAAGTATAGACTAAAAGTGACATTGATTATCCAATTTGTATAAACTTTTTCAATTTATCATAACAAATTTTAGAATTTCATAATACAAAGCTTCTTCATGATAATAATTATTGTGAACTTGTTATAACAAATCAGACAATGTGTTATAAAATACTTATTTCGTTATGACATTTAAAAAGTGTTATAACAAATTTAATTCATTAAACCAATCTGTCAATTAAAGCTACATGCACACAATTTCAACTGATTTTTTAAAACCGATTTTAATGTTAATAATTCGTAATCAAGGCCATTCTTATGATCAGCAAAAATTTAAACATCATTTGTTGATTTATAAAATGATATACAGAACGTAAAATTTTTCATAATATAAACAAGGTCGTGCCT